CCAAGAAGCTAATGACAACTTAAGCACTGAGCCACAAACTCAATAAACCCTTCATCTAGGTTAATCCCTACCACACAGCTTTTGTCCAGGTTTATTTTCAACTCAGAGACCCCTTCAAAGTAACTTATTAAATCTTTAAGATTCCTCTCTTTCCTTAGGTCAACCCCCTCACTAAAAATAATAATATCATTAGCAAATTGGAGATGGGTCATTGGGACTCTATTTCTTCCTATCCTCCAACCTCTAATTGCCTCTTCCCTATCTACCTTTGAGAGTAGCCTACTGAACACATCTACTATCAGGGTAAAGAGAAAGGAGGAAAGGGGGTCGCCTTGCCTTAATTCTCTAGAGGTTGGAAAGAAGTCCTTAACCACACCATTTACTAGAATTGAAAAATGAACAGAACTAATGCAACCCTTCATCCAATTGCACCACCTATCACCAAAACACAATTTCCTCAGGACCTCAATCAAGAAGTCTTTTCTAAATCTTGGTAGCCTGATCTCCTCATTTCCTCCACACATTTATTGGCTATGAGTATTTGATTAGAAATTTGTCTCCCTTGCACAAAGGCCCCTTGAGCTTGGCTTATTAGAGGAGGTATTACTGCTTTAAGCCTTAAAGACAAAACCTTAGCCAAGATTTTGTAGATACTCGTCACCAAGCTAATCAGCATAAAATCCTTAGGGTGTTGCGCATCTATGTTTTTCGGAATTAGGGCTAGCAAAGTGGCATCGACTCCCGGGCTCACTAAATGTATTTCTGCAAATTCCCTAACGACCACAAGTAAGTCTCCCTTCACCACATCCCAATAGTCCTGATAAAATACCATGGTAAAACCATCTAGGTCAGGGGCTTTTATCTATCCATTAGGAACACTGCCTGTTTTATCTCATCTTCCACAAAATCTCTCTCCAACCATCTGACATTTTCCTCACATTGCCACTCAACTCCTTCCACCCTAGATATGTTATTCAAAAGCTTTCTCAACAAGGATTTAAAAAAAAATATCCACAAATCTCCCTACAATTTCTTCTTGATTTGTTACCTCTGCACCCTCGATTTTGAACTTTGCCATAGAGTTCTTTCTATTTCTTCCATTAGCTAAGGCATGAAAGTACTTAGTATTCACATCTCCTTTATCCATTTATGTCTAGACTTTTGCCTCCAAGATATCTCCTCTCAATAAAACTTCTTCCAAATCCACCTTGAGTTTTCTTCTCATCCCTCTTCCTTGCTCATCCAAAGTTCCTTGAGATTCTTTAATACTGAGCCCCTTAACCCTGGCTATCAATGATGCCTTTTGTTTTTCTGTTCTGCCAAAATGGTCGTTATTCCACTCTTTTATCTTGGACCTCAACCTCAGTTTTTTATGAAATTTGACTCCCTGCCACTTGACCTTTCTTAAGTCTTCGCTCCACCACTCTTTCACTTTCCGCACAAATTCAGGGTGATTTAACCATATGTTTTCAAATCTAAAAGGGCGAGGTCTTGATCCTAAGATTTTCGGGCTTAACTTGATAGGGCAATGATAAGAGGTTACACTAGGTAGAGCCCTAGCCACCAAATCTCTCCATTGGTTTTCCCACCCTTCATTGAAAAGAAATCTGTCTAGTTTGGAGCAAAGGGGGTTTTCCTGAAAGTTGGACCAACTGAAGTCGGCTAAAACAAAAGATGGTTACTCTTGGTTACTCTTTATTGTACTTTTTGATTAACACTAAAATAAAAGTTCTTCTACTGCAGGTGCCATCTTGTGTGTTTGAGCTGTGAACCTGTGATATATGTTCCACTTCCCACCATTATCTATATCTGGAGTAATTTTACCAATACTGCCCTTGGTTCACCCATTTTCATACTATTATCAGATTTGTTTTTCAGTGTTTGGAGATACCTTCAGTTTTTTCAGATTTTAGTTGCTGAAAGAAGTTTTTCTTTAGGTTTGTCTAATGAAAATCTGGTCTGAGATCTTTATTATCAAGTTCTTATTTTCCTTTTTTTTTAGTTTTAGGGAATACCAATTGATTTCATTGGATTTCGTCCTTTCCTTAACTGCGACAGTGCAAGTGTAAGGAGTGAGAGAAAACATGGTTCCTAATCATGCTTTCAATGGAATTTTCAGTCACTTGGGGTCAATGTTCCTAATCATTGAAAAGGACGATTTTAGGTTTATGGAAAATTCCCTAGGTTGTGAGAAAGGAGAGTGGCCTATGAAATATTTAGGTTTACCCCTAGGTGATAATCCCATATCCGCAAGTTTTTGGTCTCTAGTGGGGGAAAAGATTGAGAAGCACTTAGTTGGGTGGAAAAGGAACTACATCTCGATGGGGGGGGGATAACTCTTATTAAGTCTACCCTTGCAAATCTTCCAATGTACTCAGTGGTTTAAAAGGCGCGCCTAGGTGCACAGGCAAGGCGCATTTTAGGGTATGTGCCTCACCTAGGTCCTAGGCGCACGCCTGGTGCACCTTGCGCCTCAGCCCAGGCGTGCGCCTTTTGAAAATTTGACCCTTTTTTTCTTAAAAAGCAATTAAAATTATAAATCCATTATTTTTTGTGTGAGAACTAAGAATTTAACACCTAACATGGACTTGTTTGGACTTTCCTCGAGGGGTATGGCACAAATGCAGCTCGTAGAATCAGGAATGTAATATGTTTTACATTACATTAGCAACTTGAAGTCTGCAATTGAGTGAAAAAAGAGATTAGAGGTTTTACATGCTTGAAAATGTTTGATATGTTTGATTTTATTTTTAAATTCTCATTTGAATATGTTTTACATCTTATGTTTACATATTTTAATTTTAGATAATAGGTTTTTTAAAACATTTATTTTAAAATTTAAGTTTATATTTTTTCATTAATATTATGTTTAATATTTTTTGATTTTTTTGGCATTTTTTTGAATTTTCTGACATTTTTTTTTATTTTTTAGCATTTTTTTGTTTTGTTTTTGCGCCTTGCTTCAATAAGGTTTGTGCCTTGCCTTGCGTCTTGTGCCTCAGGCACAAATTGACCTCTACACCTTTTTTGTGCCTTGCGCTTTTAAAACACTGAATGTACTACATGTCAGTGTTTAGGATGCCACAAGGGAAAGTGAGGAAAATAGAAAAAAAAAATCATGAGGGATTTTCTTTGGGAGCCGGGAGGGAAAAAAGAAGGACAATTTGCTTAGATGGAGAAAGGTGGTGAAATTGAAGGAAGAAGTGGGATTGGGAATTGATAATATTAAGTTGAATAGGCTTTGCTTAGCAAATGGTTGTGGAGGTTTCCAACGAAAATGAGAAATTATTGGCACAAAGTTGTTGCAAGCATTCATGGCATGCCAAGCAATGGATGGGATTCTGGATGTCTCTCCATAGAGCTACCTTGGCTTCTCCCTAGAAGGCCATCCATGATTTTCTTCCTACCTTTCTAAATCATATCAGGTATGACTTGGCTTTTGGTCAGAAAATCAGATTTTGGGAGGATGCGTGGATTGGGGATACCCCTTTGGGTGAGAGATTCCCTTCTCTTTTTAATCTTTCCAGGTTCAAGGGTAGGCCTATTTCTGAATTCCTAAGTCATCATTCTCATCCTCCAGGGCTGAATTGGAACTTTGGCTTTAACAGGAACCTTAGAGTGTTTGAACTTCCTAGTGTGTCCAAGTTGTTAGGCTTGCTGAATTCAGTGTTCTTGGGAGAAGGTGGATCAGATTCTAGGGTTTGGGGCCCTAATTCTGATGGGCTGTTTTTTCGTAAATCCTTCTTACACTCTTTGGTAGCCACCTCCTCTTGTCCTTCTTTCCTAGTCAAGGAAATTTGGTACTCTCCTGTCCCCTCTAAAATTAGTGCTTTTTGTAAGGAAGTGTTTCATGGCTGTATTAATTACCTATGATCTACTTCAAAGAAAAAGACCAAATTGGTGTTTGTCCCCCAACTGGTGTCTTGTGTAAGTTGAATGGTGAGACTGCACTTCATCTTCTATCTCCTGCCCTTTTGTTAGCTTTATTTGGAATTGGTTTGCTTCCTTCTTTAGTTCCAGGTGGTCTTCTCCTTCCCTTTTGTTAGCTTTTAAGGTTGAAGATTTTTTCAGGGCTTAGGGTGTTATTTCCGCCTCTTCATTTACAAGACAGAAATCTGTTGAGACATGGTCTCTCCCAATAGATGGCTGGAAGAATCTGAACTTTGATGGGAGTTGTGTGGGTAATTTGGGCCCCTTAGGCATGGCGAGGCCATTAGAGGTGAAGATGGAAACATCATTGTTCTATACTCCGGTCTTGTGTAACAGGGTGATTTGGCAAGGTCAGAGTTTCTGGGTATAGTACATGGGGTTGAAAAGGCAAAATAATTGGGTATTAATAGACGGATCATTGAGGGAGACTCGAAAACTGGGATAAAATGGTTGCAGGAGGAAGGAGTGACATGACAGTTGAGGAATGAATCAAGGAGATTTAAATAGCTATCAAAGAACATGTCAATCCGAGTGAGATGGGTGAGGAGAAATGCCAAGACTCAGTATACTAAATGGGACAACGCATTGCCTCTTATATCAGGCTATCTTGACAATTAATGTTGTTTGTCCATGTTTTTCATTATTTTAAGTTTCTTTATATGTTGTTCTGTAATTTCTTCAACTTTTGAAGACAAAAGTACTTTTAGAAGTGTTTTTAGCAGGACTCAATCTATTCTTCTCCATTGCACCATTATTTTTTTTTCTTTGCGTGGGTAGGTTTATCTTATATCAAAGTCTGGGAGTTTTATTATCAGATTCTCTCCTGTCTTGCGGATCTCACTTGTGTGTCTTCCCCTTCTCTTTAAGGCATAGTTGAATGGGTTTTATCTTCACAAGAGTTTGGCAGTTAGAGTGTGCCCCTTTTGCCTATTAATAAATAAATGAAAATAAAATAATGGTTAAGTAGCTATTGTGACAAGATAGTAATAGCAGCAGCAGCAGTAATTGTAGATATTAGGCTGTATATTTCTTTTTCTAACTAGTGTAAGTTTTCGGTATTCAATGAGCAGGTTTTGCAGTTCCAAAGTTTGCCCAGCTCTCAGTGACATCCTACTATGCTGCCTCAAGTGCTTCACACTATGGGATATCACACCTCACCAGATATGTTGAAAAGGGCCATATCTCTTCCAGTGATCAACATTAAAGATCAAATGATACATTGCAGGTGCACATGTATGTAATGGCTGTTCTCTTATGATTTTGTAACGTATCTCTTTATCTCATATTTCTTGTTTGACCTTTATGAGGCTTGTTGGTTAAGATGTTTGGCATCCAGTTGGTCGTGATAATTCCACAAGCGTGTTTGAATCATCTTGCTCTTTATCTGTTTCCTTCTCAAAATTCACATTCCAAATCTCCTGAATTCTATGATTCATAATAGTTTGACTTGATAATAGGCATCCCAAGGTGTTCTTTCACAGACCAACTTTTTAGCACAATTATGGCATTGCAACTTTGTAAATAGGAGTCCAACTGAGGTACTGAAAAAGGTATAGTACCTAAAAAACTGAACCAATCAACCGGTACCATCCAATTGGTAATCAATCAACTGGTATTGATACAAATTCATGAGGATTTCTGATTGATCAAAGTTTTTCAGGTACCATACTTTTCCAGTATTATAGAAATTGCCATTCAGACATTCAGGGGGCATCCGGTTCGTTCCAGAATTAACTTTTATTTCAATTGACTATCAGTAGAAAAGTAAAAAAGTATGTTTTTCCATCTATAGAACAGATTTAATAAGTAAGCTGAACTGCTGAAGTGAAGGATGCTAAAGTAAAAAGAAAAAAAATAAAAACAGAAGAAACTTACGACTGATGATAACATATTTTTTTGGCGAGTCAGAGACCCATCGGACAACCCAAATGCCACCTAAGGAGCAGGCAACTTAATAACTATTCACTGAAAGATGAAGAAATAAGTCATTCAGTTCAGTTTCTTAAGCCATTAGCAAATAGCCAGTCTCAGCCTCAGCCGTCCTCCTAAAGCAAAGATAATATCGAATAGCCTTGGACAACTGCAATTGTCCATTTTAATGGAAAAACTAAATGACAGTACGCTAATATTTTGTCATTATGGTCTCTTCTGTTAGAAGCCCCCAACTTGTCAAAACAAACAGCTGCTTGATTTGGTAAGCTTTCCCAGCTGGAAAATTCTGTTGTATTCTTGCATGTTTGCATTTGGAATCGCATGCTAGATTTGTCAACATATCAGCTTGTAGAGAACACTGATGTGGGCCCCACAGCTGTGGCCCCATTCTGTCCGTAGGGTAGAATGTATCTAGTCATAGCTGATGGTCAATYTRYTATTCTGTTATTCTAGTTGTTATTTACTTTTCAGTTTTATATTGTTATGTGTTATGATGTAAACACCAAGGGCAGATGTGTCCTTTCATGTAACTAGCATAACAT